ACACACAATGTATATCTATATACACATATTAACAGTGACGTAAAATGGCTTAAGGTCACATGCATATAAACATATATATATATATACATATATATATATTTGTCTAATAAGCCGAAGTCATGGTCTTTATTAGAAAGTTGGTTTAGGCGATTAATATTAAAAAGTTTGTTGTCTGTTTTTATTATTCACACAGCTTATTATTTATAAATCATTTCAATTAAAACGAAATACTAATGGTTTGAAATTAATTTCAAAATAATTCAAATTAATTTCAAGCAATAAGAACTCGCCTCTCTTGGAGCGAAATTTTGCCATCGCTCTCTCAGTCTAATCTACTAAAGTCCTGATATATTTTTTAAATTAAGAACGAGTCACTTATGTCGTACGATTTTTAGATAAATTTCACGAAGTTTTTGTATCAAGCCCTTGTTCTAATAGACCCCAAGTATGTAATTATCAAACCGGAATTTACCATTAGATGGTCCGAAATGTTATTGTAGTTACTTGCAAACTACAGTTGACATCTGACGAAGATCGTCAACTGAAAGGAAGCCACATTTTAACGCAACAGCATTGTTTCTAATAGCATTGAGCATGAACTAGTTTTGTGCATGGAGACTTGGGTTTGTGGTAATAAATTCAAGCCTTTTTTGATAATCGAGGGCGTACTCGTAGGTTGATCATGCTTATTCCCACACCGAACTCTACTTGGTCTTCTACTTGATGCCATTTCTATATCTCTCCCACATATAGTAGATGACCATCTTTTTTTATTGTGGGTATGGTGTGTGGTTGGATAACTGCGTCCCAGCTCATAAGATAACAATTAGATTTCAACTTTCTATCCCAACTTTTGCAAGCGTAAACAGCGGCAGCAACAAGCATGAGCTAACGCATAGGTGACAAAGACTTGCCACTGCCAAGTCCAAGTGTTCGCGGGCTCAAATCTCAGTGCGTAAGGCCATACTTCAAAGCTGAATAAATTTTTAAAAGGTGTTTACTTTGCACAGGAAGCGATTTAGCTAAACTGTTTACTTTGAACTTTGCTGTTACAACTGATCGATGTTCTTCTCTGTAATGTCATAGTCTATGTCTTGGATGCTAGTGCTTTAAGACTTAAGAGTTCCATTTCCAAAATTTTTTCCCATAAGCAAGTTGCATGAACAGATGTCACATGGACGGATGGAAGGACAAACAAAGAATATAGTAAAATCGAATGAGAACGTAATGTTGCTCAACAACATATGTAGTTTGATGAGACCTCTGATGTATACCGCTGGGTATTACAATTGCAAAAGTCATTATAGCATTTGTCTGATAGGCATCGAAAAGAGGTTTTGCCTTACACCAAGCTTTCGTTCAGCTAACGAGGAATTCCTTCCTGCTTTCTTACATCCTAGCATAGAAGTAAAAACTTTATATTATGGAGGTGGTCTGCTCCCAATCTGCAATACAACGTAAACCGAAACGATCTTAAAATTTTTGCGAAAAATGGCGACTTTGTAGACGAATAAACGACTATGAGCAAATTGAGACATAATCCGAGACTTAAAGGATGTGTTTTATGAGACTTTATCTGGCCTGTATACCTAGAATAAGTCATAAGTTAGAAACCTAGTTAAATTTACTGCGTTGCCTTCTTTCGTTATGTTCACGCTAGAAAATAGTTACGGGAGAAGTTAAAGATGGGAAAATCATTGTAAGCGCATGCTACTACAAAGCATCTTGATAGAGCACTTTTTAGCCTGTAATTTGCAATAGCTCGCCAGCTTGCCACACACATGTATACAACACAGTTTTTTGAAGCTTTAAATATAAAGAACCGATCTATGAGAGTCGATCCGTACCTATATCGAGCTATAAATAAATCCAGCTTAAAATAAGTCTATCTTTGAATATATAGCGATTCGAATAGAGTTTTAAATCATTCAGGCTTTCGGTAGATCAATCTTTTAGCAGATCGAATCTTGAATACCATGATATTTGAATAATTCTGTCTTTGTATATGCTTGGTATAAGCAGGTGAATGTGGTTAAAAAGGACGAACTTCGAATATGTTTAGCTTTGAGTAGATTCAGCTATAAATAGTTTAAAACTTTGAATAACTTGAACAAATCGAACATCGAATAGATCGAGTTATGAATGAGTCTAGTTGCGAATGAGTCGAGCTTTAAAAAGGTCGTACAATTGGGATTAAGAGTGAGCCGACATTGGGCTAGATCGAGCTATGAATATGTAAATCTTTCGATAAGTTGAGCTGTAAATAATTCGAACTTTCAATGAAAGGAGCTTCGAATATGTCGAACTTCGTACTTCAGGCGAGCTATGAATAAGTCGAATCTTAAATGTAAAGATCTAGATGAATAAGAAGAGCTAGAAACAAGTCCATCTTTAAAAACGTAAATCTGTGAATACATTCAGCCATGAATAAGTCAAGCTTTGAATAAATCGAGCTTTAAATGAATCAAGCTCTGAATATGTGGAGCTTTTTAATAACTCGAGCTTTAAATGAAACGTTCGTTATATTAGTCGGCTATGGATAAAACAAACTTTGAGTAAACCTGAAGCTTTAGATAGATCGAATTTTGAATACCTCGAGATTTGGATAAATCGTACTTTGGATAGGGCGATCTTTGAATAAGTCGAGGTTTGTGCAGATCAAATCTTGAATGTATTGAACTATGAACAAGTTGATCTACCACCAACAAGTCGAGCTTTAAGTGCGTCGAATGGACGGAGCTTTGAGCAGATCGAGTTTCGCATAGGAAGAGCTTTAAATTAATTAAGTCTTGAAAAAGTCGAGCTTTGAATAGAATGGGAATAGGATGAACAAACGATAGTCGCTTGCACCTGCCCGAAAATCGCATGTTACGTGAGAAGTGTACAAAAAATGTTGAACATAGAGGAGGAGGATTTGCTTTAATTCTTTTAGCTGAATATGCTAGAATTTTATTTCTAAGAATATTATTTTATGTTCTACTTTTATGGATGGAGATGTATTTTCTTTACTTTTGTTTTTATTTAAAAGTGACTTTTATATCATTTTCGAGGGACTTTGCAGCCAGCCAGCTAAAGAGCAATACTTTAAATGAAATTTAAATTCTTGCACCTGATAGATAATTAAATGAATTAAGTGCTTCTAATCGAATCTCCCGTACTGTTAAAGACAATGATTATAATATGTAGCGCCGGTTTTGCCGCTTATACCAGAAAAGCAACGAAAAAAAAAAAAAGGTTAAAACCTTGGAGTACAAAGTATTCTGCCATCAATCCCGGTTTAAACGGATGATATGAGTTTAACGCTTGATAATGATGTTAACGATGATGATAATAATAATAATAATAATAATAATAATACTGATTATGTTTACACATTTTTTTTTTTTTTTTTTTTTTTTTTTTTTTAATCGAAACTACCAACGTGGTCTGTAGAAATGCGAGTAATTTAAGTCTTCTCTCTATTTCTTTATATTTAAATAATATTTGCTTTACACTTCTTGTTTGTAATGACACGCTCACGTCTACTTAATTGAAAAAAAAAAAACGGATAAGGTAAGCGTTTTTAAAAATATTGTTAACTGTTTTGCATAAATATGTACGTAAGTATGTACGTCGATTATACTAATACGTACCAATATATGATATATTTTTGTTTGCTTTACACTATCGCTGAATAAGTGTTTTTTTATTATATTATTATTTTTTTTTTGCTTTTTTTTTTTTTTTGTTTTTAATTTTATTTTAAACAAATTTTTTATACGAATTTAATTTCGTTATTATTACGAGCGCAAAAAACAAAAAAACAAAAAATAAAACAAAACAACAGAGGAAAGAAACGTCTTCTATTGAATGTTTAATTCAAACGGGGTCAGCACCGTTTACCATATGAAAGAAGAAAAATAAAATAAAAATAAAAATTATAAAAAATACCGCGCGTCAGATATTTTTAAGTCGGCAGTGAAGAGAGAGCAAAGAATCAAAAAAAAAAAAAAAGCAAAAAACTAAATAAATAAAAACAATTTCTGCTGTTTCGTACTCCAATTCTATGAAAACTTTTGAAAAAAAATGAAAAAAACTGCCCGATCTGAAAGCGAAAGTTGAACGCGTGTCTAAAAAATTACATGAAACAAAAGCGAACCGAAAGAATCAATTAAATGCTAAAGCTTTTTTTTTTTTTTCATCGGCTATAAGCGCCTGCAATATACTCTTTTTTTCCTTACACTGTTATATTCCACTAGAGCTGCTACTGCCGAGAAAATACTTTTCTTTTCCTTTTTTTTTTTTTTTTTGAAATTTTCTTTTTATTTTTCAAAGTTTTAACGCTATTCACGGTATCGCTTTTTCTTTTTTTTTTTATGATATCTTTTTAACTGAAAACAACCAACCGTTCCTTATGACTGCTTAAAGATGACTAAAGAGACTAATAAAATACGATTTGCCTGCTTGCTTGCTTGCTAGCTAGCAGCCTAGCTATCTGCTTTGCTGGTATGCTTGTCGTTGCTTAAACTGACTGGCACACAGATCTATCAGCAAGCACCCAACGCTGAAACTAAGCAACAAGACTTACTATAGACGCAATAACTGATTGTCTTTCTCACCGCAACGGTCGGGCTAACAGCGAGTCAATTAGACGTTCAGTCAGTTAATCAGTCGATGGGATAGAAATTCTTATCGAAACGGCATTAACTGCAAACAGTAAAAGCCGCAAATCCGCAAAGATATACCCATGCGCTTGTGTCTGTATATGACTGCGCACGTTTGCTTCTGCGAATGTCTAAAAATGTGATATAAAGAATCCAGAAAACCGAATCGGTCACAAGAATCACATACTCACCACACACACATAGATATTCACTACCCATACAACTACAATTTATGATAAACGCTTCTGCTTAATATACAATAAGCTACAACGACAACGGCTTATCAAAATTCCCATATGATTTGTAATTAATCAGGCAACACTAACTGCAAACACTTTACACTTTGACATCAACAGTCAGTCTTACGTAAGGTACAAAAAAAAAAAAAAAACAAGGCATCTATTTTACCCAGTGCGACCAAAGAAGTGCATTTATAATTCTTGGTATCCAGTAAGTCCGATAACTGCCGGTTACGAACTGCATTGCAGCAGACACATAAAGTAGGAATTTTTCTTACAATCGAATGAAATATCTTTTGATTGCAAAATTGGGGTCGAGTGGCAAAATTCAAACTACAATCGAGTTTATTCTATACGGGGTACAAATCGTACAAATCGACTCTAGGTGAGTAGACATAGATCAAAATCGTGGGTTGTTTTCAGGCAGCTTTAGCCAAATGGTGTCGTGGTGACAATAAATCACTTAATCCAATTACATTCATCGGATATCCCCTGAATGCCTGAATCATGGTGAAATAGAAGGGTAGGGGCGGTCGAAGGAGTTTAAAGGCATAAAAGAGGAATGTGTGTGTGTATGCTTGTGTAGGTTCATGTAAGAACGGTTTAGCTTAAAAGCAAAATTATTGCCGTTCAAAGTCCCGTGCAATGACGAAATAGTTTTCATTAATAGTGAACGAATCGGTGCAACGACAACCAATAGACTGTTACTTTAACATCGTCGGAGTAAGCAATTATAATAGATTTGTCATACCGATTATATCCAGAAGTAAATATTACAGTCAGTGATCGCAAAACTGTGAGTAGCGACAATTCGCGTGTTTTTCATTTTCTTTTTATTTTTAGTTCAAACAGTGCAGGAAAAAAAAAGTACATCTCATGCATCCTCCTTTTCCCCCTTTGTTCGCTTGTCATCGAAAGCTTGGCAGATCACATAAACAAAAGTTTGTCGAGCTTTTCCAGTTCAGTCAATTTCCAGTTAACATTTTCCTTATATATGAGATGCATTTCCTTAGTCTAAAGATTGATCGGAGAATCTATTCACATTTTTCTTGTGAAAATTTTCATCGCCAATCACTTGTAGAACTTTTCAAATTTCTGGAACTAGGACTACGCTAAGCGATCGTCACAAATCTCCTTTGAAGTCAGCTATATATCTTTAAGGGAATTCTGCAGGCATCTAAACAAATAATAACCGAACGAAGCAAGATCCATATGATATGGTGGATGTATGCAAATTTCCGCTTCAAACTCTTTCGATCTTCGCCACGTCATTGAAAGCACGGAGTGTGAGAGTGTGTGCCTATGCGTTTTTTTTTTTTTTTTTTTTTGAGCTGGAATAACCTTCGAAAGGTGCGCCCGTGGGGCACGTCTAAAACCCCTAAAAGCCAGCCATACTCCAATCCCCTGTGGTATGATCGTTTAAGTAAATCTTCATAGGGAGAGTAGCCTACGTGTGTGTGTATTAATCAGTCAATCCAGGATATTCCCATATTTTCTTACCTCCATTCTTGAACTTTGCATACACGATAGGTTTACCGTTACGATTTATGATATCTCAGAGCCCATTAAGGGGTGTATATTCTCGATCGAGTAGAGCTGACTTAATTTCGTTATGGTTAAGCAGATTCGCTTATGTTAGAAAAAACACAAAAAAAAAAAGAAAGAAAACAAGTAAGGGCATTACAGGCGGTGAAGACCGCACGCTTAAGTACTTTATACCATTCCACTTAATACGAAACTTAATTTATTTTCTTGATGAGACACTTTTCATACTTTGTAGCCACATATCTTCTGAAGAAGCCCTAATACGAGAAGGTAAAATGTGAACTAACGTGGTTCATATGTGACAAAAACTATGTTCTTGCCAAGTTCTCTCTCAGTTCAAAATCTTTTGTAATTCACAAGTCAAGTGTTCTTATCGATCGTAAGGACCGTTCTATGTCCGCCAAAGTTGTCAGACCTATAGTGCAGTACTCAGATATTCTCTCATCACGAGGTTTAACAACAACAGTTTTTATTATTTATTCTCGTAGCTTGGCTTACAGGCTTTAGTCCTGACAGGCTTAAGAATATAATTATCTCTCCAGCTTTAATTGTTTAAATTGTGTTCTAAGTCTCTAGTATTACAGCGAAGAGTCACAAAGATGATCCGAATTCAATCTGCTTTCTGTATATTAAGTGCTTCCATATATTTTGATCAGCTGGATGGTTGAGAACTTCCTATTCGAGGCGCAACAGTATATCAATGACATTTCTTCCAGTGTGGGTCCGACCGTTGTCAAGCGAGAGGTTCGTAATATACTCTTAAAGAAGATAAGTTCTTAGTTTGGCTTTGGTCAGATGGTGGCCAAGGTTGTTAGGTCTTATTTTGATAATTGGTGTCAGTTTGTGATAATATAAATAAAAAAAATGTTTAGCAAAAATTACATGTGGACTTAATTTTAACTCCTAAAGGAAAGTTTAAAGGGGCCCACTCTTTTCAGTATATTCATTAATGGCCCAGTTACTTGTTGCCAAGATTACAATATTCCTTTTTACGCAGACGATGCACGACTATACTTTTCCCTTACTCCTCCACTGGGACTTGTGGAGGTAAACGAAGGCTATCTTGATGTGTATGATTCCGACTCTCTATCTAATATTGGAATGGATGATGCAGTGATTGACCTCGTCTAGAAGTGAAGAAAATGTCGATCTTATGACTGAGCGGCTGTTCTGAGGAAACTGTGTTTATCCTCCCCGCATGTGCCAACTCAAGCTAAGCTGAGATTAATTAAATGTCTTGTTATCCAATTTATATCGTAAGGAGCCAAAGTAGCGCCTCAAGCGCTAAGCTACAGTCGATCGATGATTCGAAAAGGCATTTTTTAGTCAATTCGTACGGTAGCCATGTTCCCTTCATTTGGTTTTGCCCCACTACATGCGTCTGCCAAGAAAGTCAGTTTATTCAGCAATTGCTAAGCTGTTCGAAAGTTCTTTGAGAGTTTGAGCTGGCTTTACGTCCAAGAAGTCTTGCAATTCACTGTTTTCCAACTTTTTTAGTCCTCCAGGCCTTTCTGTGTCATTGACATTAAAATGACTACTTTTAATCCGTTGAAAGCGGCTATTGGGATATGAGGGAGCAGCATCAGCTTCTAAAAGCGTCCAATGGGCTTCGGCAGGAAATTTCTACAAATCAAATAATAAAAGTAATGAGTGTCGAAAATACAATTTCGAGCGCTCCATGATTGCTGTCTGTCTAGACTCAATAACTCAATAATACTAAACGGAAAGGCCAAGATCACCAAATTTAACCGTTGGTATGCATTGACACATTACTTTATCACTTTCGCATTTTGCTGATCAAAATATATGCAAGCACGTATTATTTATAGTGACAATATATTATATAAAATGTTCCTCCCTCAAAGAAAAACGAAAACGTTTATGACGGAGAACTACATAGCTGCATAAGTTTTATAGAAAATATCTTGAAAGAAATATCAAAAGTAAACAGTGCAAAACTTTCCTAAGAAACTTTTCATATAACCATTAACATTAACAAAAATGAGTTATAAGTCCGACTATAAGTCTGTAACTGCTGGAGCCGGTCTTTCGCTAAGATCGGTATATATAAATACTCGATACATAAGTTGGAAAAAATAAAAATGATAATAATCATTGTGCGTTTAGTCAGGTGCAATAATGGCGATTTTAGCTTACGAACTGAACACTGAGTAATTTATCAATGATGAGAATATATCTTACTATTCCACTGAGCGTGCAATGAAGTATAAATATATTCTTCACCAGGAGTAAATTCTGAACCGATTTAGCTTGTCCTTCTGTCTGTGTACTGTCTGCGGTACATATCCTTGTGGTCGCAAAAAAAAAAGCCTTAGACTTCAAATTCGGCTGAAACATTGTAAGGCCTCGCACGCCGGTTGATATTGAAAGTGGAATCAATCGGTAGAAAGACACGACCACAGTAAAACATAATCTGAGGCTATCTCTATTGCCAAGAATAAAAACAATTTCTGGCTCAAATTTTTTCTCATTACTCATGATCTACAGATGTTATATGTTGAAATCTTGTGTAATAATCCCGAAGGCTTTTCAGCGCAATTTATTTGATTTCAATGGTATTCTTTTCATTGGTACCTGTTTGGATAAAACTTGATTCTTAGAGATTTTTCAACGATTTCTCGTACGATATGTCTTGGAAGTAGAAAAATTGAGATAAGTATTTTATTCGGTATTCTAATGCAAGAGAAGAACAATGAATCGCTTGTTCCCCTAGTTCCTAAACAATTTATTCCCAATTTTTGACTACACATTTCCCAGTGATTTTTTGAAAATATTTCTTCTCTCGTACTAACTAAATGTATATATATTGGAAACAAAGTGCCTGAAAATTAATCTATTTTACCTTTTCTTTTTTTCTAAAAGGTTTTCTTCTCCGTTATGATGGGTTCAATGAATCTTGGTATGGCTTCGCCATATATTGAAGCTTTCGGTATTGCCAAAGGCGCTTGCGCGAAAGTTTTCAATTTAATCGAAAAAGAACCTACGATTAATCCAATTAAGGCGATCGGAAGTAGTTTAAATCAACCCTTAACTGTTTTGGAATTCAAGGATGTCGATTTTCATTATCCTACACGTGAACGGATGAAAGTATTGGATAAGTTAAATTTAAAAATCAAACGTGGACAAACAGTCGCTCTTGTCGGACCTTCTGGTTGCGGCAAATCCACCTGCATACAATTGATACAACGGTTTTACGATCCTCAAGGCGGTGCCATCCATTTTAATGATGTAAATTTAAAAGACATTAACATTAACTGGCTGCGAGAACGTATTGGTGTAGTAGGTCAGGAGCCAATTTTGTTTGGCACCACCATTTACGAGAATATCCGTTACGGACGTGAGGATGCGACGCGGGAAGAAATTGAAGCGGCTGCCCGTGCCGCCAACGCTCTAATGTTTATAAATAAATTACCGAGAGGTTTATTTACTATGGTTGGCGAAAGGGGAGCCCAATTATCTGGTGGACAAAAGCAACGCATCGCCATCGCTAGAGCTTTAGTTAGAAATCCGGAGATTTTACTTTTGGATGAAGCTACTTTGGCCTTGGATACAGCCAGTGAGGTAAAAGTGCAGAAAGCTTTAGAAAAGGCTAGGAAAGGCCGTACCACAATTATTGTAGCTCATCGCTTGTCAACCATACGTCGAGCGGATTGTATTGTAGTTATTTTAAAAGGTCAAGTAGTGGAAACTGGTACTCATGATGAATTAATGGATCTGAAGGGACATTATTATAATTTGGTCACTAGTCAAGTAGGCGATGTTGAACCCGTCGGCTCTCTAGATATGACGAAAGAGAATGAATTGTTAAATAATGCATACGACGAAGATGAGGAGCAAATAAAATTTCCGCGAAGAAATGACGATGAAGATGGAACAGAAGCAAAAGAAAACAAGAAAAAAGAGTATTTATGGCCGATTTTGAAAATGAATCGCAACGAATGGCCGCAAATAATCTGCGGGTGTTTGACGTCAGTGATTATGGGTTCGGCTATGCCTTTATTCGCATTATTGTTTGGTTCAATTTTGCAGATCTTATCAGTTCGCGATGATCCCGATTATGTACGAGATAACACAAACATCTACAGTTTGTATTTCGTCTTAAGTGGTATCGCGGTAGGTGCAGCAACTTTTCTTCAGGTAAAGTCCACGCAATTTGATAGGACCAATCATGTTCATAGTTTCGCCGGGAATCTTTTGCAGATTTATTCTTTCGGCTTCGCCGGGGAGAAGTTAATCGAACGTTTGAGGGGTTTTATGTTTGAGGCAATACTGAAAATGGAGATCGCCTGGTTTGATAAACCTTCCAATGGTACTGGTAGTCTGTGCTCACGTTTATCGGATGATGCTGCCGCAGTGCAGGGAGTAAGTACCGTAACAAGATAACTAACTCTTTAAATAGTGCTAAAATCGCGAAGAAAACTTGCGAAGAAAACTTGCGTATACTTAGCTGATCAGCTAACAAGCAGATTATAATCCTTTTCCCGCCTTTAACACGTGCCCTAATGAGCGGTTTTCGCTACAATTCCTTGAATGTCAGTATTCTTTGGTCTTTGACGCTTCACCATTTCCTTAGTGCAGCGAACTAAACTCATTGTTCATTGAGTATTTTTATATTGCTTAAATGCTCGTGAACTGACTATGATATGTTTACACGAAGGTGCCTGGACGAATTTTCTTCCCAAGCCTGAAATGTGCTTACTAATGAACTTAGTTTCTTGCATTCATCTTAGAAAATATATTTTCATAGACTATTTTTCAAACTACGAACAAGTACATACCTTTATGTGGATCATCAAAGAATAGTGGGGCACAGAACATCTAAAAAAATTTCGGTACAGTTAATATTTTCGCTTTACATTGCTTTCGTGATCTAAGTTTCATCATGAAGCACTGGAAATTAGACATTTTTGCCATATGAACTTCACCTTTCGTTATATGAGAGAGGGTTGAAAAATTGCCCCAGCAGGTACAAAGTTTGCATACCAATTTAGAATGCCCAAATACTACTTCTTGGAAGCTTTTGCTGAAAAATTTTGAAAATTACAATTTTTTTTGTATGGAGCGTGGTCGAAAAAGTGGACCGATCCGAACCATTTTCTATGGCGTTCGTCCTTGAGCGAAAATACGTCACTTTATCAAATTTCATCAAAGTATCTTAAAAATTGCGACTTGTAGTTTGAATTCGGACAGACGTACAGTCAGGCTTTAGATCAATTAAAATTATGATACGGAATCGGTCGACATAATAAAAGATGGGTCCATCTTAAGCACTTCTGCGTGTTACCTACGACCGCGCTAATTTAATATATCCTCTATCACACGTGATGTAGAGTATAAAAAGCTGGCTTTTATGCAAAAAGGGCTCAAGTCGATGGTACGATTTCGTCCATCAAATATACTACCAATGAGACAAAGCGGGTAATTAAAACCAGAGATTGCGCATGTTAACTCCAATCGCATTTTCTATAAAATAAATCCTATATTTTTATTTAAACCCTTATCAGAGACTGATGGGAAGAGAGATTCCTGGGAAATCAATATTCTTTACAGATCCATGAATGATCACACTTATGATAGAATGTATTTAACAAGTAAGAAAGTTAAATTTCTTCTATTTTGAAAATAGAAGTTTCTGCCGTATAGGCATGTGGGCGTTGTAGGCGTGTCCTTTGAAAAATTAAAGTCAATTCTAAATTCTTTTGCATATTTGTAGGTGATATCTTCATTTTTGAGACCAGGAGAGTGCCAAAAACAAACAGTGTAGTGGATTACGTACACTATACAGTTGCGCAGGCAGACAGATGGACGGATGGACATGTTTAGGGGTGTTCCAAATTAGAAACTAACCAAGAACTCATGTATTTTATTGTGCTCAATACCACCACTCGGACAGACAGATGGACAGACTTGGCTTAATCAGTTCAGAATTTCAAGTTGATCAAGAATATATATATACATTATAGGGTCTCTGAAGCTTCCTTCTGAATGTTACACACATTATCAAAAAACGAACAAAATGAGTTCACCCCCGTCCTTTAGTGGCGGGTATAAAAACTGGTTGTTGTTGTCATTCCTTCCTATCTCTTCATTTGGCCCATAATATCTCTTCTCTTTTTCTAAAGATCATAAGTTTTAGGTTTCACTGCTCTTAATAACTTGTTTAAAATAATTTTCCTATTACTTGTAAGGAGTTTGTAAATTAACCTCTCACAAAAGGATTTTCATAAAAAGCAGGTCTTTATAGACTTTACTAAGCGTATATGTCGCCGGTTCACGTCCCTTTTTATGTTAGAGTTCTAACGAAAATTACGCCTTTTTGTGGCAACAAGGTACAATTTTTTGACGCTTTATGAAGAAGATAGCTGAGAAGAATGGTATTAAGCGAAGAGCTTTATAGTATTTATTGGTCAAATTCCAAAATCAGTTACATCAACAAAAGGCGGCATCATCCAATTATCCGAAAAATCTGATTAGTCTCTCGGCGCGACGCCAAGTTGCTTCCAATTGCGATGAGATATATATATATATATATATATATATATTCGTCAGTACTGTCTACAGGATGGATTTAGCTTTTTCCTCACTAAAACAACCGGAAAATTTCTTGTTGCATTTTCCAATTTTTCCGTCTGCTCCCACTGCTCCCGTCCCCCCCACTTCGTTTCCTCAACGCAACTATTGCCTCGCTGTATGTGTCTTTTTGTGTGAACAATTGATCATCAGCGATCTCTTCGATCGGCATCTAAGTTCACTACCCTTCCCCGGTGGCTAACTGGACTCATTTATCAGTTCGCTTTGTCCGCGTAATAAAGATTTAGTACACGGATAGAAAAATACCTTTTTTCGCAAGTTTTCCTGAAAATACATATATGAGTCGCAAGTTATTTCAAGGAAACAAATGTTCGTCCCGGAACTGCATGTGTAAAGGAAATAGTGTTGCTCTCTTTTCTTCTTAGGCTACTGGACAACGCATTGGCACCGTCATACAAGCATTGGCTACTATATGGGAAACAAATAAATATTCAGATAAA